TACTATGAGGCACGTAAGTACCGTAATCTAGAACCTCTAGAACTTACTGTAGTCCAATATTACAACCTTACTTTACTGCAAGTGTGAACTGGTTGGTCGGTTCCGCGAGCAATCTGAAGATTGCCGCCTTCAGACTTTACTACAACCCGGCTGAGCGGCTTTGGCACTTCTTAACCCGCTAGCTACATGATAACAAGCACAGATTCTACCACAAATTTACTCCAAGTGGAATAACTTAATGTCAGAGTACAAGAAAGTGCCCTTCTTGGTTAAGATGCCTTCTGTTTTGTATAAATCTCTAGCATGGGACACTCAGATTTGATCTGAATTGAGATACCAATTCAGATTAAATTTCTCTTCTTGATAACAGGGCACAACTGAATAAAAAGGAAGGGCAGCCAGCCAGCCGTGCAATGACCTCCTCCCTTCCCGAAGAGGGATTCAGTACAACAGTTAGAAAGAAGGACAAACCTCCCTTCTTGCACAATGGTTTTGTTTCTCTGTCCTCCTTCACCAATCTCTGTTTGTATTCATCAACCCCTACTCGTATTATTGCACTTCTTGTCTCTTTTTTTTTGCTTTTTTTTTTTTTTTGTACTTGTACACCGACATTTTCATGTACGGCTAGACAAGTTACTTGTAGTGAATCCATCTAGTCGATTTCATAAGCACTAAGGGCTCTTCCCAGGCTGATTCTGTACTCTTACTTGCTTATCCTCTATTCTTATCGATACTCGAGATAGAGAATATGAGATGTAATCTAGAAACCAATTCAAGACAAAGATCAGATTCTGTCCGTGTTTTCGTCTAGACCTAATCTTCAGTCAATCCAGGTCTTAGAATGTCCAAATGCGATGATAATCGATCAGAAAAACTTCACGGAGGGCCACAACAAAATTCGAGCAGATGAATTTCTTGTCATCACTGAATATGAGCGTGCCTTGAACCTTCATCAGAAAAGCTTATGACAAAGTGCACATTGCGAGGTGTGAAGATCTCTACTCTCTGAAGCATCAAGGAACGCAGCTCCACCTCACAAATTTAAACCATACCTCCGAGATTCTGCTCCAGCTTCATCCGCGGCAGCTAGGTTTGGACAAAATAACCTTCACTACTCCTGTGCTCACACTCTCACAAGGGATGCTATCGACTCGCCCGCATTGCAGTACTATACGTGCACCTCATCCTTCTCGCCCCTTCTCTTCTTTGTGAACCAAACACCTATCAAAGCTAACTTCGAATCTCCAAATATGTCACGAAATCAGATTTGACATTTGACGAAAACCCTGAATTCAAACCTGACGACAAATTCAACAGATTTTCAAAATTCAAAATTCTGTCCTACCCCCGAGCTCTCGTCCTCGTTACGCTCTTCCTAACTATAAAATACTCTCACAAAATTGCTACCAATATGCACAGTAAATAATCAAACCTGAAACTATGACATTGATCGCAAAATCGAGTTCTTCGAGTGAAATAAACGGGAGATTTCCCACTGGAATTCCCGTCGGTGGTTTACCATACTGGCAAAACCGTCACCGTCACAAACATAGTCAAGCCCAATCCACTTCACACTTGGAGACTCCAAGTCTGACGCTCACGGGCACTACCCCAACGTGCTAGGCTCGACTCGAAGAACTGACGTTCTTCAAGCCGTCTTTGATTCATACCCTACGACCTGAAACCCTAGGCTTGACGCTATTTTTAGCAAAACCGAAAACTACATGACATTATCTATGAAGGTTTGATATTTTGGTTGCAAAATGACGTATGTAACTTACGTCATTATGCAACATATCGTATGTTGCATTGTGTGTGTAGCCCTTGATGGGTATCATCACACTACTTCTATATTAGGAGTGCAAAAATCTATATCATCTCAAATGACGACAGATTAAAACAAGTTGATGATGGTCACACATGCGATGTTGTGGATGACTGACTGCCATGGTACAAAGTTAAACCTCCCAATAGTGACATATATTGGTACTTAGGTTTTATGTCACTATTGCAAGGTGTCACTCACAAGAGTAAAATGCTATAATCTTATAATAGTAACACATATTGGTGTTAATATTAGATGTCATTGTTGGGAGGTGCATATTTTTAATATAAACTATAATAGCAACATACACGGCTGTTGGGGTTAGATGTCACTATTGGAAGGTGTCCATTATTTTTAAAAAAATTCATAGATTTCTTATAGTGCATTGCATCAACCCTAAGACTTTCTATGAGTGTGTTGTTTGGTTTCAAAACGGCCTTCATTTGCATATTTGTATTGTTAACATGGACATTATAATTACATTTAAATTTAGATCAATACCACAAATCTGAGTGAAACAATTAATGATAATATATGTAGCAAATTATGGGGTAGGGTTAAACCCTAAACCCTTACTTAAATCCAAAAAGTGTGAGTTGTTGAGATATACCTTTTAATATACTTATGCCACAATTTTGTAGTCTCATAACTATTGTGATAATGTTGAAAATTTTTACTCTAAAATTATATTTGAACTTGTCACTATTGTATATTATCATGTCATTATTGGAAGTATCGTTTTATTGAACAGATTTACAAGTCTAAAACTAATGGTCCTGGGATTTTACGTAACTAATGAGAGTAGGTCAATTATAAAAGGTGACACTATTGGAAAGTTTAACTATAACGCGTAAAGTAACACACACAAACTCGCTTGGAGATGAAGTAGCTCGACTGCCGAAGAGCACAGATACGCAGCCCCTTGTTGTCCACAATAATGTACCTTCCATCTGGGGACGGGCAAGGGTCGGCTAATGGCTAGCCGGCTAATATTTTTTGTTATCCGGCTAGCCGATAAATATTACCACCTCTATCCGAGGCCGAAAACGAATCGTAAACTTGGACCAAATATACGTTTTCAGCCGATTATTTCCTGAGATTGGACCGAAATCATCCATTAAACATTTAGTACGATCTAATATTTCGGTTGATTACATGTTCGGCCGATAGGTTACGGCTAGCCGGCTAAATTTGAGTCCTAGCCGGCTACCTGCCCATCCCTACTTCCATCCCATTGAAGCCTTGCAATGGTGCAGAAGTTACTTGCAGCTGGGCCAGGCGGGATTAAAAAATCCAGAGTTACAACCCGCATTCCGCTAGGAGTCCGATTCTCACATAATGGGCCGAAGCTCCGGGCATTGCAGCAGCTCGTATCTAGTGCACGCTGCCTGCATGGTGCAGTGAATGACACCAGTTAATGCACCGGTCTCGAATGCTATTCATTGACACTACGTTCGATTCTCGAGAGCTCATACAAACAGATTCTGCACATGGACCGAACGCTTCGCTTCCAACACCAGTTTGTCAAGTTCCCAAGAGCTACCACGTTCGTCGAGACTCGTAGACGTGGTCCGTGTTAGACTGCAGTCGCTGCACAGACCCATCCAAACGAGCCAATCATTCTGCGCAGAGGGCTCAGAGGCCTCAGAGGGCGCAGCCTTCCGTCAGTGATTCCGTAGGTGCAGTCCAGTCCGGCGTACGGAGAGAGGGCAGGCCCGCACGGCAAAGAGCAATGATCAGTTACGGTAGTCCTCGGTCGAAGCCCTGGTCAACGCCGAATCGGCGGTCGGCGAACTGAGACGGAACCCCGTACAAAGTGTAAGACTGCAAGGGACTAATAAAGTATAGCAAAGCGAGCGGAAGGAACCCGTACAAAGTCACGAAGTCACATAAACTAACCTGAGGTTCAGCGCCGGAAGGTGACGACACCTGGCACGACGTCGCATCATCCTCGACCCTCCACATCAGCCTCTACTTTTGGGCCGAGATCGCGAATCCGCGGAAAGCGAACGAAGCCAAAGAGCATGGGGTGCGATTATGGCCAGCGCTCAAAAAAGGCTCGCTCTCCGAAACCTGCAACTCGTACCGCTCCTGGAAAGAAGGATCGCCGCTTATTAAGCATCTGCGAGGCTTTATGTGGCTCAAGTACGGACAAATCCCTACCGAACTGCGCTAGAGACAAGGGAGCAGTGGAATTACTCCCTCGCTACGGACAATCTGGCCACAATGTGCACGCGCTTCCCCCTTTGGGCTTCACTGTGGGGGCCCCCTGCTCTCGATGGGTTCCCGTCCTTCCGCCGGCTCATCGGAAACCCGCAACGGGGTCGAGAAAAGCAGAATGTTTTCCCGCCCCTGCCCCCCGGCGACGGCGCCCGGGCTCCGATGATTCATGCATGCCCCACCTTCCTGTCACCGGACATCCTAAATCGGGACAGGCCGAATGCCAGCTGGGCGTGCGCCGCGCCAGGGATGAGCAACGCCTGACGTCGATCGCCGGCATCGGGCATCCGAGCCGTCAGATGCTATCTGGTCGAAGCAGAAAGGCGGACGTGAGTTAAACGCGAGTTAAAGGAGCGCCGGGGCCAGGGCCAGGGCCACCAAGGTTCCTCCGGGAATCGAGAATCCGACGCGAATGATTGAGCGCCAGGGCGGTCGCGGTCTTCGTTCGGGACATGGAACGAACGATGCTCTTCCGAACCGCGCGGGATGGGGCAGGCAGGCGCGGACGGCCAGAGACTTTGTCGGCTTTGCGCAGATCAGGCGGCCGCATGGAAGAGGCCCGAAAAGTGGCCGAAAACCAGCGCCAGGAAATCGGATGAGGATAGAGGGCGCGGGTGGGAGTATTCTCCCGCTGCATAGTGCGAGGGCCAGGCCGCGGGGCCGAAGAGAATGTTGGGTCGTCGTCAATGTAGAGCCATGACCTGGCCCCAGCGACGGCCGCAGCTGAACCGCGCGCGGAACGGGGGGTCGTGTAATCCGAGGAGAGAGAGGCAGCCGGAGACGTAAAGGCGTCACGCTGTACGGCGCGGTGGCAGTCGAGGTGCAGGTCTCACAGCGGGGAGGTCGCGGCCGACCGGCACTCGTGTTCCGGCTCGGGGCCGGCCGAATACGGCCGGCCCCGAGCGGGCCCCCGGCGGAGCGTGGCGCAAGTACGCAGTTGCTACATGTGACTCGAGCCCGCGGTCAAGACGATGGAGAGATTTGGGCGAGAGGAAGCTTGGGGATGCGCCGGGGGCGAGGGCGAGGAGATGAGTCCAGAGGACGGAGGCGAGGAGGAGGAGGAGGAGGGCGGGCCTGGCCAGGAGAGATGTGTGCGGTTCAGAGCAGTGTGCGCCCCAGCAGGAAGCGAGTGCACCGAGCAATCCCGTGCGCTTCGATCGACTGCGTTGCATGGGATGTCGATTAGAGCTTAGCTTAGCTCGTCAGCTGTGCCGGATCGCTTCTGCAGCCAGCGCAGCGCGCACGCCCTTGTGCGCAGCGAGCGAATGTCCGAGGGATTGTGCTGCTTGCTCTCTCGCGCGCGCTGGAGCTCGCTGATTGTTCTTCTCTCGCCTGTGCGCCAACCCTAGCTGCTGCTGACGGGTGTTCCCTTGTGGTCTCCTGTCTGCCGGAATTTGCTGAAGAGGCCGTTGCCATGCTCCCACATTCACCTGTCCTTCCCGCAGAATGCAAGCTCTCGGTTGTCGATAGCTGCATAGTGTGAAATCGCGGGCGTACCTCTTGGAATTTCTTCTTTTCGCATGGCCGTGCGAAGTCTGTCAGAGCATGCCAGTGCTCGACCAGCGGCAGTACGCCTGCAGTATGAATTTCGGATGTGCTTAGAGCAGAGTCGCAAAGCTAGAGGAGCAGCTGTGGCCAGGAGTCACTTCACAGAGCTGTCCTGGAGCTGTTCGGCTTCGGCTTTTTGCCTTTTTTAGGATTCTGTTGACATGTCCTCGACGTCAAAACGGATAGAACTTCATGCCCTCAACAGAATCACTGAGAACAGAAACGAAAATCGGAGCTTAGGTGGTCAATTCTTCGGCAAGGGAAGTGGACGTTTAGAGCGGTCTGCTTTTGAACCTCCTTGGTGGTGTGCCGGACTCGTCGGAATTCATGATTTATGGACAGATTTTACAGGAAGACGGGTGTGCGCAGTGCTTTTAGTGTAATATATTCTTGCTCGCATTCAACTTGATGGGCAGGGCCAAAGCTATTTGTCAAGATGGAGATCCAGGCGCTGCAGGAGCAATTCAGTCAGCTCAATGCGACCGTTTACCAACTGGAGGAGAGGCTTGGTCGAAATCACTTGATGACCTCCAACCTTTGGAAGATACAGGCCTCAATTTTTGTTTTCTTTATGCAGGTAAGTTTCAATTCTAGCCGATTCATACTGGCATTTTAGGAAGCAAGGGAAATTGTCTATGTTTGCGTTGCAGTAGAAGACTAGAATGTTACATCATCAGGTGGCTTGGGCCCGGACGACTGTAAATTGGTCGCTGTGTTCGGATGCTCTCTTGGTTTGATTGGAGAGAAATAAGACCTAACAGCACACTTTTGTGGATATCTTCCTTACTGCATTCTAGTCTACATCGTTTGCGGATTTCCACACTCACTGTGAACAAAACGGACCTATGCTAAACACGTAGTCGTCATGTTTGGTGTGCAAGTGGAGGGTACTTCTAGATAATCTAGTCGTCAAAGCCTGAATTTGCAACCAATTCAAATTTTCGGACCACCGTACGAGTCGGCCTTTTTTCTTATCAGGAAGCTGATGCCTGTTTAACATTGTTTTGCACGTCAATATGTCAAACTGCAATGTACACGAATTGGCCCAACAATTGAAATTACAGAGTAATTTCAATTGCTCTGCATGAATGTTTGTAGTCAGTTCAACTAGTATATCATGGGTTCCTCTGCTGTTCGTCAATATGATAGCTTTTCAAGGATGCGTCAAATGGTAGGTGAGTAGGAACTCTTGGGAAGTAAAGATCTTGTACTTCGACTTCACTCCTTGGACTGCTTATTGACTTCATCACATCCGTATAAAGTTGGGCGAAACTTGATGAAGAATTTCGGTTGTTGTCACAGGTGGGCTTTTCTTTAGTGGAGGCAGGAACTGTTCGGCTGAAAAATACTCGCAGCATTATGGTGAAAAATGTTCTCGATACTTGTGTCTGTGTAATAGCCTTTTGGATCTTCGGCTATGCATTTGGATTTGGCTATGGCTCCAAGTACATTGGCTGGGAGTTCGAAAGCGGCAAAGAAGCCTTCTTCGGATCGCGAGGACAAGTTGATTTCTTCTTCCAGTTTTCTTTCGCAGCTACTTGTGCAACGATCATTGCAGGAGCTGTGGCTGAACGGACACAACTGCTTGCTTACCTTGTGTACAGGTAGTGATCCCTCCCAGTTGTCAAAGGCTTTATCAAAACTTTTGCTTCTTGTACTTGAGCCCATTACTGCTTGCTAGGCAACTTTTACATTTTTCATGGTCTTCTGTAATCTCATCAACGTTCTGTAATCTCATCCACGTTGTTCTGCACTAGTGGTAACACTTATCTCGGTAATTCTATTTCTTGCAGTTTCTGCTTAAGTTCCTTCATCTACCCTGTTATAGCACACTTGATATGGTCCAATTCCGGTCTCCTTAGTGCAAGCTCCGAACATAAGGTCCTGGGGACTCATGGAGTTCTAGACAATGCTGGTTCCATGGTTGTGCATGTAACCGGTGGCGTTACAGCCCTAGTTGGATCTTGGATGGTGGGTCCGCGGATAGGTCGCTTCGATATCGACGGAAAACCGATACCAATGAAGAGTCATTCCATGGTAAGATTTCAAGCAATTTTGTTCCATGTTGATGTCCGTTGTTTACACGAGCAAATGGTACAGATTTGAATTCCTCCTTTTCCAGATCGAAAGTGAGAAATAGACACGGTTCTTGAAACACTTATTTGTGTTACTGCTAAATTGAAGGTGCATTGTTCTGTTCATTGTTTTTTCAATCCAAAACTCTTTCCATACTGTACCTTGACGATGCAAATCGATAGAGCTAGTCATGCAAGTTGCAGCTTGAATTTGCTCTGTTTAGTTCTTTTTTCCTTTTCCTAAGAGGTGTACACACTTACATACGATTTTGTTACTGATTTGTGCAGGTATTTACGGCAGCGGGCACACTTATTCTTTGGGTTGGCTTTTTCGGATTCAACACAGCCCCTGTTGACTACAACAAAGATGATGGTCTCGCCTGGACCTCTGAACTTGCGAGAGTAGCATGTAATACAGCATTGTCAGCAGCGTTCTCTGGCATTGCTGTCTTTTCTACACAGCAGTTGATCAGAAAGAGATCCAAACCCGAAGACGTTTTCAACTCAGTACTGGGAGGCTTGGTTGCAGCTTGCGCTACAAGCGGTGTTGTCCGCCCTTACGCTGCTGCAATCATCGGTGCGTATGAGTCATTGCTGTCTGCTCTCTTAGTTTGGAGTGACCTTTCTTCAATGGTGTCTGTAGGTTGTCGGGTCGACCAAGTGGATGGCGTTCCCATTGAGGAGTATTTTTTACGCTGCTTATTGAAGTTTGGCGGTTTTGGATTTTTCAGGGTTTGTGGCCGGATATGTCTACCTTGGCGGAGTGTGGGTTTTGATGAAGTTGCAAATTGATGATGTGGTAATGGCGGCACCCGTCCATCTATTTTGTGGTACTTGGGGCGGACTTGCTGTGGGCTTCTTCGCCGCTCCATATGAGATCCGCCTGACATTTGGGATTGACGAGCCTAGCGCATGGGGATTGTTTCACGGTGGTGGGTTAGCTCAGCTGGGAACTCAGGTATGCTCATCGAGTTTAGTGATGTTTGTCGATCTGGAATTCTATTGCCTGCGGCAAGTTCAATTTGACTACGGAGTATGACGACAGTTTATGCATTGTGTTTCACATTCCATTTCGATCCAATGACTACTGGATGCCTCTGAAATCACCCGTGAATACTTTTTCTCTAAAAGGAATATAGTTAGCTGGTAGGAGAGATGTACAATCTCCTTCTTGAGTTGTAGAGGCTTTTGCGCGCTCCTATTATCTACTTGATGCTGATTTGTACACATCACCCCTTTCATTACTCTCCACATGTCGTGATTAAACAATTGTGAATCCTGGGCAGGTCATTGGATTGCTAGTCGTGTACATATGGGTTGGAGTGACAACGTTCATAGTTTTCTATGCGTTGGCTTATTTCAATGCGCTAAGGGTTGACCGGCAGTTAGAAGAGGTATGAACTGATTACCTAGTGCATGCCTTCACATTATCTCTTCATATTTTATGGGCACAATTTTGAGTACTCCCCGGTAAAAACGTTAAAAACGTCTCAGCTTGGAGCTATATCATTGTCTTTTGTCTACAGCGTGCTCTAGGTTTTTTTTAAAGGAGGCACCGGAGGGTGAATAGTGATCGAAATGGGAATTAAAATTCACTTCTAGTCTGAATGTGCTCACGATGTGGCCTCTAATGGTATTACTGGTTGTGGTAAATACAGGGAGGATTAGATTTGGCTTTTCATGGAGGATCTGACAGGGAAACGGATGCATGGAATGGAGAACATAGGAGACCTTTCAGTGTAATCAAGGATCGGAAAATATTTTCAGTCAGTAAACTTCGGTCCAGGTGTAGTATGATATCCTTATCAGGTCAGCGGAGAGGGGAGAGGTCCCTTAGAAGTTCCATGTGGTACAAGCCGCTGAAAAGCACCGCTTATGGAGAGTTCTCATTTGCTATGTACGAAGCTAATTACTTCATGGAGGATGCCGGAGAGGTAAGAAATGAACAGGTCAATTTCACGTCAATTTCACCTCCCGTACTTTTGGACACGCCATTTGAAAATGTCTCAGTTGTTTTCTCTTCCTTGGCCTCTTCCGCCATTCGATCTCTTAATTTCGTGTGGTTCCAAGATAGTGCATACCTCTTTGCACTGAATGAGTTTGCGCAACTGTGGAGAGTGTTGTTGGTCTCCTTGCAACGTTTAGGTCTGAGAGATAAGCTCTCTTAAGTCGTGCAGTGCAGCTATTTCTCGTCGATGTCGGGTTTTAATCTGGTCGTGCAGCAATGAAATACCACAGAGTAGCATTCACCCGCGCCAATTGCACCAAGTAGACTTTGTCTGTTTGATTTCTCAAATGTCCGGCTACGGTGTAGGTGGAAGCCACGAGTAGTGGCGTGTATATTGGCGTTCACGATGGCCATGGTGGTGCGGAGGCCGCCACATTCCTCAAAGAACGTCTTTATCAGACCATGAAAGGTGAATGCAGGTCAATACAGCCGACGATTTGTCTCAATGTTGGCAGACAGTGATTGCGCCAAAATATAATTTATTTCTTGCTGACCACCTCTTCATTGGGAATGGTCAATTCTGCGCATGCAGCCCAAACTGGCGGTATTTTAATCAAGAGATTCACGAGTTCGTTTTGTTGCAGATCGTTTTTTGAAACAGAATGGAGTGGTGACTGTGGATGCTATCAGAGATGCCTTTTTAGACACCGAAGAAGCATTTGTGAATATTGTTAGAGATGCGTTCCCGAAATCTCCACATCTTGCTACTGTGGGATCTTGTTCATTGGTCGCTATAGTGAGCGGAGATACTTTGTACGTTGCCAATGTTGGAGACGCTAGAGCAGTGCTGGGTGCCACCCGAGGAATCGAGGTGACAGCCATTCAATTATCAGTCGACCACAACGTGAATGACACCGAATGCAGGGAGGCGTACATGAAAGAGCATGAACTTTGCTGTGGGGGTGATAACCTAGTGTGGGAGAGGAACGGGAAGTGGAGGGTGAAGGGTAGACTGCAGGTAATTTCACACCATGCCCGCCTGTTTTCAGTTACAGTTTTGTTAAGCCATTTCTGACTCCATGGCTTAACGTTCTGCATAGATATTTTTGTGTACTGAGATACTGAAGAGGCAAACCACTGGAATGCTGCGTGGGTAATAGGGTTGCCCGTTTGGTACCATTGTTTCTCCCAACCTCCGCCCATACCTACCCTCTCACTCCCGCCCTCCGCCGCGCGGTAACTAGCAGAAACCTATCAACTTCGGTTACCCCCGAGAGAAGCACCCCACTTCGGCGATGGCTGATCGATGGCTGTTACAGTCATCAAATGAGACTGGCTGAAATTTGCACGGTTTATCACATACATCCTGTTTATAAGTTCTCTAAATTGCTCCGAATGGCCACTTGGAGCATTGCAGGGTCGGATGATGGAGGTCTAAGACTGAGCAACCTCTAATTTGTTTCTTTCGCTGTAAATGCAGTTAACGAAGTCTTTCGGGGACTTGTGCATGAAGTACGCTGAATTCAACAGAGAGCCATTATTTTCCAGGTTCCGCATTCCAGAACCGTTCAAGCCTCCTATCATATCGGTGGATCCATCTGTTAATGTACATCAGCTTACAATCAACGATGAGTTCCTGATATTGGCTTCTGATGGTCTTTGGGAGTACCTAACCAATGAAGAAGCAGTTGAAATCGTGAATACCTCTCCAAGAAAGGTTTGAACAAATCTTGACCTCAAGTTGCAAATAGCGCTGTGCTGTTTATTGTCTATTCAGATGGCTCAGACTTAAAAAACTTGTTGTGTAGTTTGCTCGCGTGCTCAGGGGCTAACACACGGGTGAACGATTGATGTCTAAGGCTTTCTGTTGCATGACTTGTGCAGGATATCGCTCGGGTGCTTATAAAAAGTGCTCTACAAATAGCAGCCAGGACTCGTGAAGTCCCGTACAATGATCTTGTCCACATGCCCAGTGGACAACGGCGGGAATATCACGATGATATGACCGTCATTGTATTTTTCTTCAAGCATGGATCCAGGAGGCACGATGGAGAAAATGGCTGGAAACATTCCATGTCTGTGAAGGGAGGTCAAGCAGCAAAGATTGCTTTGAATGCAATCTCTGCTCACATGCACAAAGCATCGGGTCACCATGGGAGATCTCGCCCTCTGTCATCACCCCCTCATGAGACTGTTATCATTGACCTTTAGAGCTTCTTGTTCAGTCTCCTGTACATAGGTTTGTAAAGGTCTGTGCGGGATCTCTGGACCATACTAGTCTTGAAGAGAAGCCTGTGTAGATGAGAAAACGAGGGAGGTCCTCTGAAAATTTTCTTCTGTATGTAGAGTAAATCACCAATCAGCAACTACGGTTGCAACCTGGGGTTGCGAACAAAGAGCGACCCCTCATAGCAAATGCGAGTAAAAGTCTTGCTTCGAATTTCGGTAGCTTCGTAAAGTGACTGCTACTCGAATTCCTCATGGACTGTTACCTTTTCTTTCAAGAGCTTAGAAACGAGGTTTCACCCGAGAAGCCATCCTTAGCCAACAGCCAGGAAGGTGATATCATGAGTTTGGTCGCTTGCAACGTGTAATACTAATCATTTGTTGATACTTGCGAGTCGGAAGCATTATGCGATTCTTATTTACATCTTATTTTTCTTGGACAGACAATAAAGATAAGGCTGACAATTATCAAAGTCTGCTCCAAATCAGGGAAGCTCGAAGTCGAGTCCCCAGCAATGAAGCTGAATATTGTTATGTTTTGTGTCAAGTTGAATTCCGTCGTTCTCGTCTACTTTTGGATTTTCCTCTTGTGTTTCACGTAGCGTAGACGAAGGAATGGAGGCTGGGAGAGAAGGTGCTTATCGGTGTTTTTCTCTCCATTGAGGTCTTGTTGTCTAGATTGGTCTGTAAGGTAAGTCCTACAGCTAGTTAAGCAGTAGCTGTGGTCACGAAAATTCTTCATCCGATGGTAATTCATGTGATTCATTCATGAATGTCCATAGAGACGTGGGGAAAATCTTCGGGTTTACAGGTAATAGTAATAAAAGAAGGTTTCTATCATGCTTCACTGAAACTATATGGAGGCCTAACTTACAAATTTACCTTGAAGAGTTTGGTTTCCAAATGTCCAATGCTGTAACTCTTTCTACCTCATAGATTCCCTTCTATCGGATGATGTGGATCAAGCTTCGCACCTTGATATACGCCTTACTAATTCACTTCTAATCGCACCTTGATATACGCCTACCTAATTCACTTCTAAGACATGATTTCGCTAGAAGTCCTAAGTCGGCTGAGAAAAGCTGACAGGTTGATTTGTCAGTATTGTCGTCCTCTTTCCGACATTCAAGATCGAAAATACTTTGAACAAGGTCGTTTTCCTAAGACTTTGAGTGGTCTTTTGACAGTCTCATTCCACGCAGAGGACTTTGTTTTTCCATGGAGCAAATGAAAACGGCGCTCCTCTACCAATCTTTGAAGCTGGTGCTGAACTGTAAGGATATATGAAAGAAGGCAAAGGGAAAGATTTCTTGCTATGTTTTTCAAAGGTAAAATTGAGAAACGAATGGTGGAGGGAGGAATTAGTAAATTGAGGGCCACGATAAAGCTTTTAAGGTTTCGGCTAATTTGGTATAATATGTGGCCCAACAGAGAATTAGTTTCATCCTTGGCGAATTTGATATTAATTTGCAGGACACAAGAGAAGGTCCATAAACCTCAGCTGATATGATGTAAGATAGTTTTTTATGAATTTTCTAATTCCGACACCACTGAAACGAGAAACAACTAAATGCACGGAAATTTCAATGCTCATGCGAAATGGAGTAATATGACATTACGTACGTAACGAATTCTCAACATCTTTCGGAAATGTCATTATTGTCAGCATCTTTCGGAAATGTCACTTCTCCAGATAAAAGAGTCTGTACGCATCAGCTGATGTCGACCGTTTATGTTTCCGTACAAAGTCTTGGAGAGTTGTTTAGTGAAGAGAAAGATGAACTTTGCTTAGCGTTGTCAGTCTTACTGGCTTACTTCAGTTCTAAAGCGTGTAACTGTATTCCCTTGATTTCAGTATTTTCTTCCAATCAATGTCTGTGAGTTTCTGAGACAAGGAGGCTTGAGGTGTCTCGATCCGGTAGAAAGTGCCTGAGCGACCTTAAGGCCGGACAGCAACGCAAGATGCATGTACGTCAGTCAGCGTTCAAGACACCATAGACACCACGATCAAGCTGTATGCATCGAGTGTTCTGCCTGGTCCGAGCGACTGATGGCTCCACATTTATGTAGTTTTCTAGGACGAAGATCATGGTAAAAATAATCGTCTACGCCTTCACTTCACGAGATCTCCTGTCTGGTCTTCATGTCACAGGTGAGCTTCTCACAGACTAGTGATTCTTGAAGTGATATTTCAAGTTCAAGACACAATGTTTCCTGTAGTCTTTGATGCACATGTTACGATATCCATGAGTTCGTCAGCTCGTCCGATTCGAAAGTCGAGGTTTCATAGTTCGGACGTTGGAAGCGTATTCCTCTTTATGCTCATGTGTTAATTGTCTTCCTGGGCAGATCTTTCGCAAATGGAGGTGGGTGAAAGGAGGATGGATCTTCTGTCCATGTTAAGTATGATCGAACTGGAAGCAACGTCAGGCGATGAGATGGAAGCTTATCTGTTTCAAGAAGGTGACGGGTCAACCATTTTCCAGGCTGGTGGGAAGGAGCATCGGAACTGGAAATCAAAGATCGAAACTCTAGGGGCCGAATCTCTTGGAAGTATTTGCAGCTCCTATTGCTCGTCAGAGATCTGTGAAGAAGCTTCAACCAGTTTTGACCCCCGCCTCTGCAATTCCTCCTCAGAAATTTGCGAAATCATATCCGATCTCAATCTTGACACCTGTTATCCATCATCGTCATCAAATTCAGCGGACTTTTACATATTCTCCCGTGACAAGAGCCCCACACCTGAGCGAGGAGCTGACGGCAATGGCTTCCAAGACATACACAGAAGAGACTTGCACAGAGAAATGTGTTTAGAAGAGATCGAAGAAGAGTCGAGACCTCCTACTCTGGATAAATCACCTTCGTATTTTCTCAAAGAGATAGGCTCAATAATATCAGCTCAGGTCACACTCTCTGAGTCTGAAGGTCGTCAAAGTAAACGATCTATGAAGAAGAGAGTGAGAGATACATCAGCGTGCAACAATGATAATGATGATGGGGGTCTCGTATCAGAAGCTCATCCAGTGCAGGCAGTAGAAGTTTCCCTACGAAGATGGCTGGACTTCCTCGAAAATCACGATGTCAGTGCTTCGTACAAGGACCTTGTGCATCTTCGCTCTTTTACAAAGCGCTTTATGAATCTTGTAGAGTTTTTCCTCTTCACGCTGGTGGATATACTTATAACAAGTTCTCATTTTTTTGATACTTCACTGGATTACGAGGACGGAGTACTGTTTCCTCCACTGTCAAGTTTCATAGAAGATGCTGCAGGTGAGCGAGAAATGAACGGAACGTGTGGAGACTGTTCCACTTCAGCTGACCATAGAAGCAGACAAGATAAAAGTGAGCTCCAGCGCTTGCAGGAATGGCTGATGGATGGGATCGACTATCTCGGAAGCCAGGAGATTGTGGCTTACTACGAAGATTATCAAGTGCTTCATGCTACGACCAAGCAGTTGCTTGAACTCGTGGATTCCTATTTTAGAAATGTCGTTGATCGGCTTTTGAAACAATGTGCGGGTCTCGTTGGACAACATGAGATTGTTCTTATGAAGTCTTCTGAACGAACCTCGAGGCGTGAAAATCTTTGATCCCAAGTCGCGTATCTATCAAAAGGACCAGCTCCGTGCTTCGGCCCCCAGGTACATTCAGATACTGCAGTGAAAACTTCTCTCAACATGACATGATCTGTTACTCTTCTGAACTGAAATGAAATCAGGTTTACATGATGTCGGTCATCCTACTCTGACACCAAGTCTCTCCAGCTCTTGTGAAACATTTATTGTGAAGTTGTGCTCGAAACTACTTGATTCCATGAATATCAATACCAAAACTGCTTTGAAATTATGCCCTTGTTTTGGTGAAGGTCCTTTTCCTTTTTTGATGGGCATGGTCTCACACATAAGAAAAACATTTGTGTGAATCGTTCAATGCCGTCATCCCTGACGTGATTCGAAGTTGGCGTTGGCAATCCTGAATTGGTACACGGAGCTGAAAATATCCCACCTGAGCAGGGATGTTGACTGAGCTTGGCCACCTTCCAGGTTCCTGTTTTGGATCCGAAATCACCATTGCCGCAGACATCAAACTTGTGATTGGGACAGTCACCTTCATTTGACACCAGTGCATCGAAACTAAAGGTCATGAGCAATGACCATCAAATGTCGCTCACGCTTGAACAGACGGTCACATGGATTACGTTGAAACTGAAGATTGATGTGAAAAAAATCGTTTGGAAGCTTGTTTGCGATGAGCACACCAGGAGTAGATTGTTAGTTGGAACACATGGGTGTTATAGAGGAACCATCCTCAGCTAGCCCAACATCTAATGATAAAGTAGAGGTCACGCAGCTCCTACATGTTCATTGTCACATTGAGTCACCTTCATGTGACAATAGCCTCCCGAAACTAAAATTCATCAGCGTGACCCTCATGTCCCATAGATTATGTCGTAACAAAAGATTGCCATGAGGTTAGCTGGGCAGAGACTCTGGGAGCTTCACACGAACACATCAGGACAATTACGTTTTGAAGATTGTTAGTATGGAGGAAAGCATACATCCTCAATAGATCAGATGTCAAACAACTCCAGCACGTCGTGCCTTCGTATTGGGTAGAAGATTGTCCTGTCATTCGGTCTCACTGTGAGCATAAGACTAGATTCACCAGTGTTAGAGCGTCATCACATTTCAGATTATTAAGTATTCGTTTACTTTCACATGTGGGAGTATCGAGTTAGGTAAGTTTGTTTATGATGTATGTTGATGATAAAGATGCATGTTGTGATGTGACACAACATACATGAGCAATCTCAACCTCAAGTCGTTTAGTGTATTGTAACATATGAAACATCATATTGAACCTTTATGTATTTGGGAGCTTTCATTTTGATGGTTATTGTTGTATTATACTATAAGACGAAACCAAAAACTAATGGTTATGAAACAAATGACAAGACCATGAAAAACATTGTCTTGTGATTACATTTGGAGGAATTACTTCATGTCGTGATTCTTCTCTTGTCATATGTCAAAACAAAAATCTCAAGTGGCCTGTAAGGATTTCTCACCACAAAGTATCCACACACTCACCACACGAGAATCAACAGTATCTTCTGAGCTGTGACCGCCATGCACGCAGTTTTAGAGTTTGACTCGAAAATAGCTCATACAGCTGCAGTTGTCTCTTCTTACGGACAGGTAATTCATGGTGAGTTTCAATGAAATTCAGCAAATAGTACGTCAGACCAGGGGGCTTGTACAGTGATAGTGAATAATGTGGCGCTAGTTACAGAAATGAACTGAATTAGATCAATTTTGATTTGATTATTAAGAGAAACTAGCGTGCACGATTTTGGTAAGAATTTCTTGAAGTAATGATCTACTTACAGTTGGATGCTTAGAAAGTCATCTCTTTGCTGCCAATTTACAAATGAAGGGGCATTTATACTAGTCTTTTAGGATCTGCAGCTAAATAAGGTCGAGAAGTTCGGCAGTAGTGATTGAGTGCTGCGACTGGATCTTGTTCTTTTAGTGTTACCTACATCAAATCAGGAATTACCACTATCTTCAGGGCAAGATATGGCCGAAACTTCGTCTTAGCACGAGTTTACTCAGCATTACCTTCCCATAGTGTACTGGGTCAGAGCAAGAGCAAGTTCAGTAACTTTTTCAATTGAATGCTTTCACTTATGCTGTGGACCTCTCTAGCGTTTTCTGTGGGTTTTCGGCACATTTCTTACTTTATTCATGTCACGTCCTGTGATCTTCATCTTCGGTTCCTATTGACACCCCAAGTTTTCCCATCTTCAAGCATGTAACGGAGAACGTGGTGACAACTTTCTCGCCCACAAGGCTGGTAACGAGGGAAGACTTAGTTGCCGTGCAGCCCATTTTCTATTACTCACGGTCCACGGTGTTTGCTGTGGGATACATGAAGACTGTGTTAGATCTGAGAGTGTAATCATTTCTCTTGCATTGAATCCCTTGGCAGCAAAGTTAGCGACAAGCCCGCTGAAGTTCAGCACAGAAAGTGGTAGGTTTCTATCAGCCATCAAGGTCGTGCATTGCAATCAGTCTCTGAGACACATAGCGACGGGCCTGATCGTTCCCCCAGCTGTAAGATTGGAAAAGAGGCGAACATTCTTAGAAAATAGTGAGTCAGCTAGAGTTGAACATGATTCCTTCCAAAAATTACGGAGTCGTCTTGCTTTCATGATTGCAGGAGAAAGTAATCCATGTAGTAAATAGTACCTTGGATGTGGCGTCACGAGCAGCCATGATGAGAATATCCGAGTAAGAGAAATGTTCTAGACCAGCCTTCAATTTATCGATTTATGCGGCTTCTGCATGATTAACGATATGAATCATGCATGCAATTCCTGTGATTTAGGAGTGCGAACTGGTCTCAAGATTGCCTGGAAAAAGAGTTGGCATCTGAGGTCAAGTTAGAGAACGAACCTTTTCATTGACATGGTTTAAGATTTGAAATATTTTAATGCTTGAATTCCATGTTTGCAGACATAATCCATTTGTCCTCAGATTGCAAAAAAGTTTAATGATTCATCATGAGGTCACACGGCATTGGTCTTAATCTTGCTTGAAGTACTTATGACTACAAAGAATGATTCGATCCATCCTAGATCACAGAAGGAAGCATACATATTTCCAGTAAGGTTGCCGATGAAACTAATATGGTGTTCGTCATGAAGGATGTCTGGATGACAAGGCGAGTCTTAATGTAAACAATTGACCATAACTAGAGTATGAAGATGATAGATTCTTAACCTTCAGATCGTGAAACTGTCCGGGTTTTGCAGAATCTTAAACAGTCTCCGTTGTAATATAAACCTTGCAGACATTTGGCGTTGGTAATTGTACTGAGGCTGAGGCTTGTGCAAAAATGTGTGTTCGGTTCATCGAATCTCTCAGCTGCCGGGAAAAAGCGACTAGCGGCAATGCTTGTCATAAACTGAGTGCAATGTCATTTATCTCAATTCAATTCAAAGCACCATTTTTCTGAAAACTCTGAAGAGAAACCCTTCAACTTTCGTCCTGCCTAGTTGACTACTTGAAGTTCCCTGATGACCGCCCGAAAGTGATAAACCATTAGCAAACTGATCACACATTGCATAGTGCGGCTAGATTCGTCCATGCAAGTTCCTCCTTGCCAGATGATAAAACTAAAACGCATGGCTTCAAAAATATGTTGATCAAATATATATGCGCATACTTTGTGGGAGTGCGAGCACCGACGAGAATTCTTGTGAGAATTATTTCATTGAATCGAGTTAAGAAGTAGACTACTACTATAGCTACAATTATTGATGCTCTAAATATGTTCAAAGCCCCGCTGAGGTTATGTTCATATTAAATCATAACATTGTATGCAGTTTACTACGTTTTTTAGCCTCGAGGAAAAACCAGCACAAGAGGAACATGTCATGATTCAAATTCAGATGCGCAGTGAAAAAGTATACTCCTAGTGGATTCAACTGCTTTTTGCATTACGCAGGAAGAAGATGCTACCAAAGGACGAACAGGCGTATCTGCACTCAATAATTTGAGTCTATTTTTTTACATCAAATCTCATGCAACCTGTCTGTCTGATTCCAGAGTGTTACATCTGCTCATATGCAGGATATACTGGAACTTGTATTTATTTATTTATACTATGCATATAATCCCTAAGTAAAAGAAATGAGGAATGATGTATTCGTGTAACTTTTTTATATTTATTTTGAAAACTTTCAAATCTAAGATTTTTTTCAACGATGGGAGTCGAAAAGAGTCGAAGCCTCGATCAACCATTCCCATCTCTTGCAAACCCATTTGAGTTGCAAGAGCTGTGGCCTTTAAAGACACAGTAAGACTGTACTACGAACTCAGGACACATGAACCAACTTTGTCTTCTGACTGGTTCAAATATAAGGTTGTTTGAGGGTATTTTTAGTGAAGGACATGATGAATCGCTAATAAAGCCGTAAATAGTGGCCGTTCTCTACAACTCTTGTCAATGGAGAGTGGTATCATCATCCGTCTTTTATCTCTCTCGCGTTTACATATCAAATACTGATGGAGGTCATGCATAGAGAAACAACAGAACGTTTTATCGATAAGTCACTGATTTCACAAGACGGAAGATTCCTTCTATATCCTCCTTTAAGGTAGTTTATTATTGTGAATAACGTGCTGGGCAGTCCATGACAGCTTGACTCGCATTTTTTTCTTTGACATAAATATCTGAGGGCGTCAAAACAAATAACTGTAGTGGATACTCAAGCTTCTCTGTAGCAAGCAATAAATTTAATCCAAGCACCCCCGTGGAGACCACGCTTCTAGTGAGAATAAGTACATAATTGATTCATATTATCAAATGGTCGGAAATTAGATACCATTTCCTAGAATACCTATAGACACGTGAGTACATAATATTTAGAGTAACCCAGGAATCAAGCGTTTTTACAATACACAGCTGAAGAATCCCTCTCGACTTCACAACATATGCCGACTTTTGTCTGCAGAAATTATCGAGGCCAATTATCCCTCCTAAATGAAAGAATTTTGTGCACAATCAGAGATCATGCCTGCCTGCGCAAGTAACTGTTGATTGCAACAGCACTATATATACATCCAATTTGTCGAAGCTCATCATCACCGGCTCATTGTTCCACCTAAACTGTACCTTCTCCCAACGATTGCCATCAGCAGGTTCGATCCTTACCCAACATTCACTTCGATATCACTACGAGCAGATTGAGCATAGTTAACTTAGTAATATGTGGAAAGTTCAGCTCAATATTTCAGACGTGGTCTTATTATGGATTCACTGAGT